GGAAAACTCTAGCAACAGAAAAGAGTCTCTTTTGTTTCCACAGAAAGCCAGAGGCTATGGATTTGTTCCAGATTAAGATACATCAGGTTTGACCAGCCAAGACCCCCTGAAAGGTCTCTGGTGACACCATGGCCCAGATGATCCAACATCCAGAATGGTTTCAAGGCAATTGGCTCAGATGATACAGCCTCACGGACTATTCCATAATCCTAAAATTTTCTTTGTGTCCCCATAAGATACAGCATCCCCCTCCAGCAGGAAGTAGTAAGAGAAGCTACGCCCAAATTCCCAAATTATATGTAATTTTACTTTGTTAAGGTTAAAACCTTCCTTTTTGAAAAAAAAAAGGGGGGGAAGTGCTGTGGGATGGTCTGTTTGTCAAGTGTGTTGCTAATTAGTCAATAAATATAACACTGATTGGCCATTGGCTAGGCAGGAAGTGTAGGTGGGACAAGGAGGAGAATAAAGCTGGGAAGTGGAAGGCTGAGTCAGAGAGACACTGCCAGCCGCCACCATGACAAGCCGCATGTGAAGATGCCAGTAAGCCATGAGCCATGTGGCAAGGTATAGATTAATGGAAATGGATTAATTTAAGCTGTAAAAACAGTTAGCAAGAAGCCTGCCACGGCCATACAGTTTGTAACCAATATAAGTCTCTGTGTTTACTTGGTCGGGTTTGAGTGGCTGTGGGACTGGCAGGTGAGAGAGATTTGTCCTGACTGTGGGCCAGGCAGGAAAACTCTAGCTACAGACAAATACATAACACAATACAGATAAAGAACATATACTACCCACAGACATAGGATCTGTGTTAACAGAACTAATAAGCATATCCTAAAATGTAAAGCTGTGGTAAAGAAAAGAGCAAAGCAAACAAACAACACTCCTATGAAGTAATTTAAAGAAATTTTCCTATCAAGAGACAAAAAGGAGAGAAGCCAGAATAAACACTCACACAATGGGAAATATTCATCAAGTTGTAGTGAAGCAGGCTGTATATAGAACATAGATTTTGATGTGTTTACAATTTAACTGAGGAAAAATCAATAAGCCATTGTTAAACAAAAAGAAAACTATTAACACAAACAACAGAAGACCTCTTATAAAATGTATCACCGAATTTCAAACATCAGGTAACCTTTCCACCTCTCCAGGGAAGAGACTGCTCTGCATTGTGAGGCTAAGAACCTAGAACAAAGCCCGGCAGACACACTGGGCAGCAGACACTCTGGGCATTGCTCAGGAAAGCGGAAGTGTACCAGCTCCTCTGCTTATGTTTCTGCCGGCTGCTCGGCTGCTCAAGCCTGCCACCTCCAAAGAAGGCAATGAAAACAGGAAGTGAGGAGCCTTTGGAGGGGAGTATGGGTGCTGACATGGTCCTGCATTCTGTGAATAGCAGTGTTTGTCCTGATGCCTGAGGGCCTGGGAGGATGTGGATCTGAGTAATATTGGGATAGCTACCCTCAGTCTCTTGAGAAACACTCATTTTTGTGATAAGAGAGTACATCTGGGAACTCACGCTGCATTAAAACTTTCAAGAACTCTGGCTATTTTAGGGAAGTCAGAAGTCACCTTTAATCTTCCCTTATCGTATATACATACCAAAAGTACTTGGAGACTACAGATCCCAATCACACAAGAAGCAATCAGCACACTGGAGACCAGGATAGAGGCAGAGAGGTTTGGATTCCAGCAAATTCAGATACAGTGGTCATCTTAGTGCCTCTTGCTCCTGTCTTACCTCGGCCATGAGGTCTGGTTTGGGGAGAGAAGGCTATCCAGGTTTGGTGGGTAGCCTTTATGCTTTAAACCTATCCACACCTGTGGCTCAACTTAATGCCCATAGCAAGCCTTCAATGCTGACAACGTTACTACTGTTACTTTGTCAAATCAAGATGGCCAACAGGGGATTTGATTTAAGGGCAGATGGGTCTAATCTAAGTCCCAGTCTCTTCCCATGAGATCAGACTCTGAAATCTAGAACACAGGTCTTCAGACAGAATTGACCTAAGGAAAGTATGCAAGATGCCTGGCAGAAAACACGTAGAATGCCTGGAAAGTATAGATTTGAGTCGAGCACTCAACACAGACATTTAGCAATCTCCCAATGGCCTATTGGGTCAGGTTTGTCATGGTTGTTTTGGTTGTTTTTCCTTCAGGAAAAAAAAAAAAACAGTGCAGCAGGAGAGTTTGGTGTGGGCTTGCAGCCCCTTCGTTACCACTCTCTTTTTTTCTTTTTTATTAATCTTTCTCCTTACCGTTGTTTTAGAGATTCGGTCCCAAGAAGGTCTGCATCCATGATATTTGCTGCTACCTGCTGATACTCCATTTTGTTGGATACTTGCTCTTTGGTTTCACTCACCTCTGACTTGGGATCTTGTGTTCATCACGTTCATCATTGCCTCCTTTGCTCTCTCCAGGAGCATCCCCTTCTTGCTCTGATTTTCTATCTACTTTCCTTTCCTGAGATAGGACGAGAACAAAAGACTGAAATGAGAGCAGCCCTTTGCATGTCCCTGGATGATTCAGTATCTGATTTTTGTTTTCATTACACCCTTCCAATGAGCTTCACAAGATCTATAGTCAAATGTTTTTTTGATACATTGGCACTGCCTAAATAAACATTTCAGAGCCCCTTTACTCTCTTCTGCAGTTCACGAATCTAGTGGTTGGATTTGTAGATGAAGAAAAGGAGAAGAAATAAAGAACAGGTCTGCAGTAAGGGAAGACACACAGACAGCAAGCCTTCATCCATTCCCTAGTTTTTTCAGACCTTTGTAGGGAAGAAGTAGATAGCAATTTGGTATTCTGCACACATACACACACACACACACACACACACACACACACACACACACACACACACACACACAGAGTGAGAGAGACAGAGACAGAGACAGAGAGACAAAGACAGAGAGAGATAGAGACAGAGACAAAGATAGAGACAGAGACACAGAGAGTTGTGTAGATGAAAAACCACATTTATCAGAACTTTAGTGACCAGAAGCCAAGACCCAGAAATGCAAAGTAATGTGTTAAGATCAGAAAAGCAACCCATGGTTAACCCATGCCTGGAGTCCTAGCATCCTGATACCCATTCTGCTGTATTCTTTCAACTGACTCATCGAAAGATGGAGCTGTGAATCTTCCTAACTTGCTCTTCTGTAGCCATTTTTCAGTCTATTGTCCGTGAACTTGTCTGAAGTCTTCTTGAAGCTATTTCTGTCTTCAGTGTCATGCTCCCAAGCAGAGTCTGAAGCCACTGGGATAGAGGTAAATGGGAATGAGGTGGGTTTATTTTTGTGCTCTCTTAGATCTCTGACCTCTTTCCTGCAGAGGGAGTCAGAGACCTTAGGGCTTAGGAGAAAGATCTTGAGGTGAAGTGGTCTCTGGGCAAGGCGTTGGTTTGAATTTCCCAAGAAATGAATTATCATTCCTTCCAGAGGAGGGGGGTTGGCAGCAGACACCAATATCAAAGCTACTCCAGTCCCACTCTGGCCAGGGACACCCATCCAGCTCTCACATTACAGTGTGACAAGCCACTGGGTTGTTTCAGCCAAGAGTTCCCCCTGCTTCAGGCTTCTGATTCCACCCTGGCAGACCTGGGGACAGACTGCCCAAGGAGAACTGAAATGCTGTGCAAACAGTCAGAGGAAACTAGCCAACTCCTTGTGTATGTCCAGATCCTGAGATTCAAGACACAGCCCCAAGGGTCCTGAATGAGGCAATCAGGACAAGTTCTGGCATTGTTCTGGGAGCAATTTTCTCTGCCTTGGCCAGCTGTTCAGAGTAGAGAGATTTTCAAATTTCTTTTGAAAATCAAAAGTTGGGAAAGGTCTTCCTTTTAATGATCTTGGCCCCCTCCTGTTAATTTCTCAGCAACAGTGGTTTTTCATCTCACCTCGGGCTTAGTATAAAAGAGCCTGGCTCTGGTGAGGAAATAGACAGGAGGAAGCAGATACAATCACAGGCCCTCATGTAGGATTCTTCCTACTTAAACTACAAGATACTAGCTGCTGGAGGGATTTGCATAATTAAAGGAGTCTACCAATGCAAAAACCGGGGTGACTGTAGATCAGAAAGGCCCTCTAAGGGGTGGAGTGGGGGAATCAGAGAAGGTGAGGCGTGCTGCCATAAAGAGAGAGTGACAGTTGATGCCATGGGGAAATGAACTGAACTGTTCCCTTTCTTCTTAAGGAAATTATCATTTCAACTTTGCTCTGTCTTCTGTGTGACCACTTAGGGGAAGGAAGGCTCCCAATCTGCATTTAAATGGAATGATTTCAGGAAGCATAGAATAGGGCAAGGGCTTTTCAACACCCCACCCTCAGCCCCTTTAGGAGAAGGCCTTAGATGCATTAAAATTGACAGCTGCTCTCTGTGAACGCAAAGGGCTACACTCCACCCCCCACCCACCCAATTCCCGTGGCCCTAGTAGGCCATGGGCTTCTATGATTTGGCTTTGGGGATGGAGAACATCCCCTACTGGAAGGAAAGGACCACTTGCTACCATCTGGGCTTCTACTATTCAATTTAATAAAACTCTTTTCTATGTCATTTTGACTTTTTTTTTTTTTAATACAGATGTCCCAGGAAAGGGGGCAAAGCTATAAACTGCTGTTTTTCATTTATATCCAGATGTGACAGGATAGAGGATTCAGGAAGAGAGTCTCATCCCTTGACCAATATTTCAAACACAGCAGCTGCCAAGCATGAACTAGTTTCAGGGACTGCCCCATTGATCAAGGGAGTTAGGAAATTTCCTGGCTTAAAGAAGCTCACAGGCAAGTAGCCATTAAGGGTACTAGTCACTCATCCAGATGACCTGAGTTCCATTCCTACCACTCATTGCAGGTGACTCTTGACTGCCTGAAACTTAAGCCCCAGGGTATCTGACACTCTTTTCTGGACCCCATTGGGGGCCCCATTCATGTGAACATACCCACACAAAGACAAACATATACACATAAATAATGAAATAAATCGTTTTTATTTTCAAATGTTCACTAAACATTTCTTCACTAAGGAAAAGGAAAGAAGACTTGAAGTGTGTGTGTGTGGTGGGGGAGAGATTTTTACATGTCCACAACTGGTCATTTCTTCACTAAGGAAAAGAGAAGAAGACTCAAAGTGTGTGTGGGGGGGGGGGGGATGGCGGAGAGGGGAGAGGGAGCCAGCAGGTCAGAAGAGTGATGGGATCCATGGAGGAGTGGGAGGAGCTTGAAAAAGAAGCCCAGGAGCTCTGAAAATATGCTTTCATGGCAGTTTTATGATTTTCCATTTTTGTCGCAGGCAGGTCCTGTCTCTGATGGATGGCTCCCACTTGACTTCTGGGGATAGAAAGTACCTCCACGCTTATCCTTGCTGTCGTCGAAAAGAGCAAGGGAGAGGGAAGGAAACACTAACCTGCAGGAAGATGCTTTTCCTTCCAAGCAGCTGCTCTGCTGCTATGAGCAGAATTGAGTCAGGTGGGCTTCTCTTATTAAGATCTTCACTGCATGTTGCCTGGTCAGCACGAAAAGGACCAAGGAATGTGCCTTCTCATTAACTCTGTTTCTATTTCTGGTAGGCCCCTGGGTGGGTCAAGGGGCAGATGTCTCTGCCCAAGGCCTACTGATGGACCACCAGCTTGGTTTGTTCTGGTAATTACTTTAGGATCTGGTATGCAGCTACCTGCATTCCCTGGGGCAGGGGCAGCCCTGCAAACGCCTCTGAAGGTCTGATGGTCGGCTGGATGCAGTAAAGGTGAAGGGTGAGTGAAGGGCACACGGAGAGAGCTGACTGTGAGAAGAGTGAGGTTGGGAGGAAGGATCCTGACTAGCACCCACCACGGCTTCCAGAGAGATGAAAGGCTCACCAGGAGGGCTGGGTGGTTGTTTCCCACTGTGGACCATTCACCAGAGCTAACGGTGGCCTTCAACAAGACAAGTTCATCGCATTTGTCCCATAGGGAAGGTCTTTATTCAGATCTTTGAAAACTCTAATGCTAGACCCTGGCTTTGCTGCACAGGTCTTAGAAACTTTCACTGGTGTCACAGTCTTCCACATGGGAAATTCTGTCTGTCAGGTGACTGTCGGTGATGAGTCCATTTGGGATAGCCGCAAAAACGTGACCATCCTTGCCCTGACCTCCTGGTGAGGCCTTGTAAAAAACTGACCATTTTTCAGTGGAATTAAAGAGAAAGGTGCTGATGTCCAGTAACAAGGAGGCACAGCTGCCTGTGAGACAAGAGAGGAAGATGGGAAATTATAGGTACAGGGGAAGGGAAAGGGGCTCCTCATTACCAAGTCTGGTTGAAGCCCATTGGTTGAAACCAACTGAGAAGTAGGAATTCTGTACAATTAACATTTGCTGTGAAGGTTCTCATCAAATATATTCCTTTCTCATATGGACATTTAATGTTCACATAGCAATAAAACAAGCATAAGGCCTGGATGTACACAATCTTGGTTGGAGCCCTATTCCTTCGCCCAGACATTTTGTGGCTCACAAACAAGACTGATACAGTCTAGGGGTCCTGATTAGACTCATTTTCTCTGCCAGTTAAGGAGTTAAAAGGCAGGCAAATTTTGAGCATGAAAGGTAGCCTGGAGAAATCCCAAACACCACAAACAGAAGCACACAGAATCAGTAGTTGAGGAAAGGTGTTTACTGGAGAGAGGAAACACACACACGCAGCAGCCACACAGAGAAAAAGATCCTCTGTAAAGCAGATGGGGACTCAGAATCCAAAATATCCAGTCTTTTCTGAAGGGCTAAGACTTAAGCCTCTGAAGAGTTTTCTTCTCCTAATTTAGAATAAGTCAGTTTGAAGAAAGATAGGATGGTTGATTACCTACAATTATTATGCAACCTGTCCTGATCAGACCTTGCTGAGGAGGTCCATCAGGCAAGAGGGGCTGCTGGCCTTTGCCTTAAGAGGCCAATCTTTCATCTCAGTTCAAGAGGGTGAGGAAGAAGTAGGTCATCTTGGAAGTTTACCACCTTTGTTACCTAGTCATGCTCATTCTCCCTATCTGTATGCCTACCAGGGAAGCTTCCAACTCCTGGTCTCTCAAAGACTATTAACTTTGTCTACAGGGAAAATACCCTATCTCCCTTCATCCCCTGGACCCAGAGTTTTACTGTCTCAACTGGGATCCTATCAGGTGCCTCTCAGGACCCTGATCTCATTTAGGTTCCTTAGCAACCCTTTGAAGATAAGGACTTCAAACCCCACCAAAATCCTAAACATGGCTACTCTAAGGACAAGTGTGAGCTCACACTCACACTCCTGGTATGTCTTACAGTTTCCTAAGCGTCTTCCTTCTTGTAAGTCTTGTGCTTAGAAATCTAAGATATCCTTAACAAACCCCAACTCCTCTTCATACTGGCCTTCCCTAAAAGCCATTCTCCATCAAAGCCCGGGATCTGATTTTACCTGTGATTAGGTACCTAAAAGAGTAAGGGTACTCCTCAGCTGGCAGTGACAATGTGGAGCTATGCCTTTGTCTCTGTCACCACTGGCACCTGGAATAGACCTGCAGGCAGGCAAGGAAGAACCATGAGATTATCATTTTGTATTCTGTGGATTCTTTTTAATTTTATCATTGGGACAAGTCAGAAGAGTCTCCAGGAACAGAAGGGAGCAGAACCTTGGTCTCCTCTCCCCTCCTGAAGATACCTTTGTAAGTTCTGTCACTCCGTTTAGGACTGGAGGGCTAAAGGTGACCCAGGATTTGATGGTCTGTGCAGAAGCTGCCCTCCATGTCTGGGAAGGGGAAGTAGATGAGGTCCTCTTAAGGTGTCTACAGTGGCTGTGTGTCTTTCTCGCTCTCAGAGGACCAAGGCAAGTTCAGGTTCTGTGCCACCCACAGTTCTAGGTGGGGAAGGGGAGAAATAGAGAGCAAGCGCCAGGGTAAATGGAACTTCTGAGACTGATTTTTGCGGAGAACTGGATGTTTCCAAGGGTGCTTTTCACATGCATCATCTACACCTTGAGACAGATGTCGGAAGCCCTTCTCTTGGATCAGTGGACCAACCCACTGAGTTGACTCATTTAGTTAGTCAGGCATTTGTGCTGGGCTGACCCCGTGGATAGATCAATGCAGACATATGGGGGATTAAAGGAAGACTTGCCTTCTGGAAACTTCTTGCCTCACAAGGGCATGACATTGCCCTGCTGAACCTAAAGTTAATATTTACAAAGCAGACTCCTGGAGTTCCTGTTTCCTGCCATCCTAACCCAGAGCAAACCCACTAGGCGGGGACTGAGTGGCCCAAGGTCACAAGGCTTGCCAAAGCTAAGGTTGGAAGCTGGCTCTCTGCCAGCAGAGTGAGAGTTCCCAGGCACCTTCTGAACACAGGCAGATAAGCAGATGTGGGTGGAAGGTAGAATCCAGGTGTCAGAAATCTCAGGAGGTTAAAAAAAAAAAAAAAGAGCTATCCCTCCTGCTGCCACCGTCATTACAAGGTGACTCTTGAGAGCCGCTTCCCCACGTTCTATCAAAAAGTCCTGGCAGCTTTGCTGATCCGGCTTATAGACAGGGACAAAAGACCTTCTGCTGGATCGGCCCTAGAACCAAAACAAAGACACATTTTCCATCCCTGGCTTCTCAGATACAGTGCTTGGCATCTCTGCCTCCTAGAGGTCTGATAAAAGTTTAAACTGGGAAGGGCTGTAAGGAAAATCTAGTCAAGGGGTCCAGCCCCAAACCCAGATCCCCAGTATAAAGGAATGGAAACAGACTCAGAAACCAGAGGTAAAGTGGAGACTCCGGTCCTAGTCCCTAACTTCCCAACATCACCCTGTTCAGCACCTGGGAATCCCTGGATGAAGGTAAAGCTTTTGTTCAGAGAGGAAAGTGATTGGCTTTAGGATGTAGCATCTATTAGATCAAACTGAGCCTAAAAAGCTACATATTGATTGTGAGTCTGGAGGTTCTTCACAACTGTCAATCTTATCTTTTCTATGCCTGACATTTGCTAAATACTAGATTCTGAGGATCCCACTGATTGGCTCTCTGTGTTATGCTACCCAGCAGCCTTTATTGAACACACTCTTTGAAGCTAGAGGTCTGGAAAGAATGGGTTGCACTGTCCTTACACTTGCCTCTTGGGGCTGTGTCTCATCTCAGAGAACACTTAGACACAATTCCTCCCCATGTCCTGGTTTTCACCTTGACTCTCCTCAGCCCTAACCAGAAGATGCAGTCAGGAGCAATCTGTGTTGAGAGTAGCAGATCTGCCTATGTGGGCTGTACGCAGCCCATAGACCCAGATTTAATGTGGACTCCCTGCAGCCCATAGATGTTTTGACTGGGGACCCAGAGCCAGCTGGATTTGAAGTCTGGAGGAGAATGCATAACTAGAGTCACCTCCTTAGTAGACAGGGTTCTGTGAACAGTAGTAGAGGCATGAGAGAGAAGGCTGTGGGGCTGATAACATCTCCAGCTGAGGAGCCAGGGTGACGATTTACAGGCCGGGCGTCTAGGACCTGACTCAGCACCAGCTTTGTTTTATTATACCCAGTGAAACTTGATCATCCCTAGTGGGGCTTTGCCAGGGAATGGGGAGCCTTCAGGCCCTGGTTAGGTTAGGATTAAATTGCCAACTCCAGCAAATGAGAAGTAATGAGCCCGGCTGGTCTCCCATTTATGGAAGGTAAAAGGTCTCCCCAGTGAGGGGGTGTTGAGTAAGAGGAGGATTTAGATGAGGTTCTTGGCTACCAATGTTTGTTGGACACTTAAGGGCGAGTCCGCTTACCTCTAGGGCTGTGACATTCAAAGGACAGAGCGTAGTGTCTTGCTGGCGCTCATTTTCTTTCTGTGTCATCACAGTGAGAGGGCAGCAGTGAAGAGGAGAGCTGGTGTTTTCAGGAATCTTACCCTGGCATCTTGTGGGCTCTTCTTCAGGTGGCAAGTCACTCAGTGCTGGCTCCATGCAGTGTCACATTCCTTAGCAACATCTCTACCTCCCTTCAGGTAACCCTTGGCAAGAGATTATCCAATCTTTGTTCTCACTCAGGGCTGGGAAGAAGATGGCTGTTCTCCTCAGGGCACATAAATTCTCTTCTTCAAGTATCTCCATCTGAAATGCAAATACAACGAAGGGCAATGCCTCATCAGGCAACACATTAGCCTGCCTTAATAACAATCAACTGAGAGAGAAAAAAAATGAGGCTTAGCATCCACAATAATGATATTATCTATCATTTATTGAATAATTATTATGAACTAGGCACTATGCTAATCTCTCTCTCTCTCTCTCTCTCTCTCTCTCTCTCTCTCTCTCTCTTTCTCTCTCTCTCTCTCTCTCTCAAAGAAAATCCTTTGTTTCTTTCTGAATCATTACAGAGTCAAGAGACTGGTATTTGATATGTCATTCAATGAGCTGAGGCCCAGCTGTGCCTAGGGTCACACCACAGGTTAAAGAAGTGTCAAGAGTCCAGCCCAGGTGGCCAGGCCACCTTCCCCTTTGGTACAGGTGCTCAGGGATTCATCAGGAGTCCAGGAAAGGGACACATGAGTGAGGAGTGTATATTGTTGGCCAGTTGTCCTTAGAGTCCCACTGAGCCTGGCTCCAGCCTAGATTCCAACAAACTCTTCTCTGCTTTGTGAGATCTCAAGTGACTTACCCCTCACTGATTGTCACTCATGTGATGGCCAAGATTCATGAGTCCCTCCTCCCTCTTATCTTCAGGACCCTTTCAGGGTTGCTTCCTCTTGGAAGCCTCCCTGAGCTTTCCCTTCACACCTGTTTAGTCTCTTCCAAAAGGCCAAGGGGCCATTTTCCACCCCATGTCAGGACCCACTCAGCTGTGCTCTTGAAGGCAGGGCATGTGCCCCTCCGCTGTCACACCTTCACAGATTCCAGCGCTCTTAAACATTCAAGGTGTAAGTGGAGTCACTGACCTAACAATGAGGCCCCAAGTCCCAGGGAACACAGACCTGACTCAAGAGGAGAGCTACATTCACGTCTCACAGAACTCAGCCACAGGATAAAGCCTGGAATCATGGTCAGTGCCTTGAAAGGTAAGAAAGCCGCCGGAGACAAAGACGCTTTGGAAAGGAAAGTGTTAGTCACTCTGGCTTACATTTAGAATGGAGTTGCCCATTGGCAACATGGTGCTCACGGTCCAGCTTCCAGAAGGCCTCCCCTTAGCCAATTGTGCAATGAATGCTGAGAGGTGTGCAGCCAGGGTGGGTGGCATTCCTTCTGGAGAGGATGTCGATTCATTCTGAACCAGTTCCAAAGCCATGGGGTGTGAGTGAGTCACCATGACTGCCCCAGGACAATGCTCATAGTCCAGTGAGCTAGTCAAGAGCAGATGACTCTAGGGGAAGAACCTGATGCTAAGAGCCATCCTCTTAGGTCCTGACACTTTCTGCAAAGTAAGAGCCTACCAACAGCACTCCAGGAAGATAGGGGGCAGGTGGGTTAAACAGTGATAGAAGAGTCTTATAGGAAGAAGACAATACTGCCCTAATATAAACATCCCTGTAAACAGAGATAATATTGTGCTGACTGTTTTCTTTTGTCTTGACCAAACAAAGCATTCATCCATTCAGCTTACCCTTTTAATTTCACCCTCAGACCCTGCTTTGATGCTATAAAGCAAATATGATGTTTCCTTTCCATAGTTGAACATTGTGCCACCTAGCTGGGCCCATTACTAGGGAAGTGGTCACCAGGAAGGGAATACAAGATGCATACTAATGTGTGAATGAGCTTGGAACAGTGTGCAGCGGTGGGAGGCCTTGTTCCTCCAGGTTCATCCCTGTCTGTCTTTGTGGTATTTTACACCAGCTATATTGAAATACAATAGAAAAGTAAAACTTGTATATATTCAAATCCTGTGGCATGATAAATTTGATTTACACACATGTCAAGTAAATACATGTTTATATCTACATGTATGGTGTAAAAATGATTCCCACCATCAAGTTTACCAAAACACCAATCCTTACACACAGTTACCTGTAGATGAATTTCTAAATGGTCTTATTAAATAAAAAACACGGAGCCAAATATAGCAGTGAAAGCCTTAGAGAGATCAGGGAAATGGGGAAAGCCACCAGCCAACCTCACCTCCCTAACTCTGCAGCTTCCAAATGCGAGCTACTTCCTGTCTACCCACACCTTTATTGCCTGCTGTTCTGCCATCTGATTTGCTCTCTGTCTAACTACATCACTTCCTCTTCCTGGCCAGCTCTGTCACTTCATGTCTGTACAGGCCTCCAGAACTCTATGGTTGGTACTGAGATTAAAGGCGTGTGTCACTATGCTTGGTTCTGTTCCCTAGTATGGCCTTGAACACACAGAGATCCTGCCTGCTAAGTGATAGGATTAAAGTTGTGTGCTACCACTGCCTGACTTCTTTGTTTACTTGAAATGGCTTGAAATTTCCTCTGATCTCCAGGCAAACTTTATTTATTAAAGCACAAATAAAATATCACCACATTTTAGCACAAATAAAATATCACCACAGTTACCTTCTCACCTGTGGTGATATGGGTATGATAAGGACCTTTAAAATCCAATGTGTGAACAAATATCAAACGAACAGTATAGCATTGGTGTGTGTGTGTGTGTGTGTGTGTGTGTGTGTGTGTGTGTGTGTGTGTGTGTTACAACAGATGCATGTGGAGGCCAGAAGCTGACATCGAACATCTTCTTTAATCACTATTTTACTTTTAAGATAAATGTTGTAGAATATTATTTTAAGATGTGTTACATTTGTTTATGCTGTGGAACATTTGTTTAATGATGCAAAGATGTGTTTCATTCTTTTATGTTGCATTTGTTTAACTCTGTGAAGCTGTGTAACTTTGCCTGTCTAAAACACCTGATTGGTCTAATAAAGAGCTCAATGGCCATTAGCGAGGCAGGAGAGAGAAATAGGTGGGGCTGGCAGGCAGAAAGGATAAATAGAAGGAGAAGACCATTAGAAAGGAGGAGAAGGAACAAGAAAAGAAGGAAAAGAGGACTCCAGGGGCCAGGCACCCAGTTACACAGTAAGCCACAGAATAAGAAGTAAAAAAAAAAGGTACACAGAAATAGAAAAAGATGAGGAGCCCAGAGGTTAATTTAGGTTAAGAAAAGCTGGCTAGAAACAAGCCAAGCTAAGGCTGGGCATTTATAAATAAGAATAAGCCTCTTCTGTGTGATTTCTTTGGAAGTTGGGTGGTGGGCGTCCAAAGAGCTAAAAGTAAATAAAAAACAACCAGCTACAGATAGGGATTTTTCACTGAACCTAGAGATTACTAACTTGGACTTGCTGGCAAAGAATCCTCCTGCCTCTGCCTCCCCAGTGCTGGGATTACAAGTGCACATGTTCGTGTCTGGCCCATACATACATGCTGGTGTTCAAACTCAGGAACTATGCTTCCATGGCAATTACTTTACCAACTGAGCCATCGTTCTAGTCCCAAATACAGCATTACTGGTTATAGACTCCAGACTCTACCTCAGATCCACAGAAATTACATTTTTCTCATTTTTCCCAGCCTCAGACCCTGGCATCTACCATTCTATCCTCTGCTTCTGTGAGTTCAATTATTTTAGGTTCTTTGTGTGTCTATCTGGCCAGTCTACAGGCTGCCCAGAGATCTGATGACACATTATTTCTATATGTATGTATGTGAAGGTATCTCCATAAACATTAACATTGGAATCAATCAGTACACCAGAGTTATGGTTTGGATATGACGTATCTCCAAAAAACTTGTGTGTTCAAGGTTTGGCCCCCATTTGGTCCTTCTAGCTCCTAGTCCATTCCCATCATCACACCAGTCAAGTTCTCTCCATTAAGAAGGCACAGATGATCTTCCCATCCTCCTGATGATGAATATGATCTTCCCATCCTCCTGATGATGAATATCAACATACTCCTTCACCTTCCAACACCAATGGGTAGACACCCATCTGACAATCTGTATGTGGATTCTGTAAGATATGCTTACTAAACTTGCCAAGACTTACCTCTCTTCTCTCTGCACACACACACACACACACACACACACACACACACACACACACACGCATGCATGCACAGCCAGTAGGCCCTGCCACAATACCAGATGCCACCAGCAAGTGACCTGGGTCCCCTTGTGCTAATGGAACATCTCTTCTTCCTGAGTGTCTTCCTCACCTGCACAGGCTTTTGACAAGTAGGCAGATATTTTTCAAAGCACTTTTGTTTTTTTCCTGAACAAAGAAAAAACGTTCCTGTCATTGTTCACTGTGCTGTTCCTTCCTCCCATTAGCTCTGCTGAGATGCACCCAAAGAAAAGAAAATACAATTGCATACAATTAGCAATGGAAATTATTAATAGGAGCAAGAGATTCAATCCATTCTACAAGTAATTCTGCAGTGATTTTAGTAATTGATAGTAATTAAACACTAATTAATTCATTTCCCAAGTAATGTATTTACTTTATTTATGGGTATTCACTTTAATTACACTTGTTTGCATTCCTTGGGTTAAGTAATACAAATTTGCTCTATTTTCTGAAAATGTTTATTTGGGCTTCTTTAAGCCATTCTTTGAGAACCTGTGGGAACAAAGACTAATTGCTTTCCCTTGCGGTTGGGCACATTGATTTCTCAGTTTGGAATGCAATGCTAATGGAAGGTGAGGCTCCTCTGCCTTCCCAGTATGGCACTTGGCTCCTCAGCTCTAGTTTTTGGTTCATGTCTGGAAAATGGTTTTTCTGGGTTCATATTAGAAAACACCCTAACCCTTGGCTTTGGGAATAAGGAATCTCTGGGCCTTGTTACGGAATGTGTATGGTGGCCCCAGGGAGACATTTCAGGCTCTTCTGTTCTTGGAAAGGAGGGTTTGTGGCTGCTTCATTTAGACTTCCAAATATGGAAAAGAAATGCAAAAGCTGCCTACTCTAGCCCTTCCATGGAAACTCACTTGTCTATGTCACCACTGGCCTTGCAGACACTCTTTACACAAGGCTTGAGGGACCACATCCCTGAGATGCAACCTCTTAGCAACTCATTCTTTTGCTGAGCCTAAATCGTTCCCATTGAGAAGATCTTTCTCTGTGACCCCGCTTCCCTCAAACTGCTCTGTGAAAAGTGCCACAGAGTCTGGGAGTCCTTTCTTGTCCACTGGTCAGCCTGTTTGATCTGTGTTCATCTCTCCTAGAAGATGCGAATGGCCTTGGTCTGACTCTCATAATGATAAGTGAAACTGATGTCTCTCAGTCAAGAGTCTGTACTTACTTCTACTAATAATTGAATTAACGTAGATTGCACACATACCAATAATGACTCATTTTGAACTGGTGGCCACTGCTAGATGCAACAGGCAGGGTGCCAGATGTTTTGGAGATCTGTGAAGCATTATAGGTAGATCAAAAGGAGGAAATAAACTAAAAGTCAAAGAGACTCCAAGGAGGTTTAGAAATCCTAGTCAGACATCAACTGTTTAAGAAATTGGCTTTTCTTGGTCTGGTTTATCTTGTTTCTCTTTATTTCTTGTTTATCTTCTTTTTAAAATTATGTGTATGTATGCTCCTGTCTAGGTCTATATATGTGAGTTCTCATCCCTAAGGAGGCCAGAAGAGGGCATCAGATCCCCTGGAGCTGAAATTACAGGTGGTTGTTAACCACCCAACATAGGTGTTGGGATTCCAACTCTGGATCTCCGTCATAGCAGCAAGTGTTCTTAACAGCCAAGCCACCTCTCCAGTTCCACTTCTTCCTTTTCCAATCTTAAAATATTTCATCATCAAGTAAAGATTGAAAATATTGCAGGTATACAAAATGATGATTTCATTTGTACATACCTTGTGTAATGATTTAAAAAATTAAGCTAATTAGCATATTCATTACTGCTCCTCAATATCTACATCAATCCTCTGGACCTTCCCCTATTATAACCAACTGTGTATGTCTTTTGCCCAGCATCTCCCTACATCTACCATGCTTCATCCACTAAAACCATCATTTGTTTTCTACTTCTGTAAGTTTTTTTAATCACTTATTTTATGTATATGGATGTTTTGCATGTATGTATGTCTATGACCCACTTGAGTGCCTGAAGAAGGCATCGGATCCTCTAACCAGAGCTATAGATGGTTGTGATCCAGTGTATGTGTACTGGGAATTAAACCCAGGTCCTTTGGAAGGGCAGCAAGTGCTCTGAACCACTGAGCTATCTCTTAAGACCCTCAAAGTTTGATTTTTTTAAATTAGATTCCATATAAGTGAAGTCCTGTATAACAGTTCTTGTCTTTCTGTGTCTGGTTATTACTTTAACTCAATATTCTCCAGGTTCATCAGTGTCATGATAAATGGAAAGAGTTTCTTCTTTTCAAGATTGGACAACATCCTATTATATAGAGAGACAATTCCTTTATTTATTCATATTTGAACAGACACAGATTTTTCTGTACCTTTGTTATTGTGAAAGAGCTTCAATAAACTTGAGGGTACAGACACTCCTTTCAGGTACTGATTTTGTTTCTTTTGTACATACATATATGTGAGTCTAAATATTAGTTATGGTTTTTTTTTTGAAGAATATCCTGTTTTCCATGACAGCTGTGGCAATTTATAACCCCACCCACAGTGTATAAAGTTCCCGCACAAGCGTTTCTCACCTCATGTCTTTTTGGTCAAGCCACTCTAACAGGTCCAAGGCAATATCCCATCAAGATTTGACTTGCACTTCCCTGGTGATAAGCACTATTGAGCACTTTTTCATACAAATTGTGTTTTACTCCAGACAACCCAGGAGCAAACTGGTCAGGGGTAAACAACACACACACACACACACACACACACACACACACACACACACACACACACACACACACACACATGCAAAATCTGGATAAGAATAAGCCTTCAGTCAAAATAAGTTATCTTGACAGCAATGTATTGGCCCTGATATCTCTGTCTTCCCAGTCTCAGGTGCTCTCTTTGTCCTGAGAAAAGTAGACCATGGTAAGAGAGCAATGATTTGGGGAAGAAGAGACAGAAGAAAAGAAGGAACCGTCCTTTGAGAAGTCCTCAGACTAAGCTCTGTGAGAATTGGATGATAGCCATACAAGACAGAATCTCGTGGAGACTCAGTCCCTGCACCTGAGAATCTTGCTGATGATACTAAGCCAGAAATTTCACTCTTCCCACTCTGGAACAGAGGGATGGCCAACCAGCCTAGATGAAGGCTGAACAAGAAGCTGAGTCTCTGCAGCAGGCCCCTGGTTCACTTACTGGTCCTTGAAGTCGTCGATACCCCAAGCCCAAGTCTGGAGCCTCCCCAGAGGAAAAGGGAAAGCACAGGAAAAGGTAATGTCATGGGCACCAGCCCAGAGCTTTCCAGAAGGGCAAGTGCCAATCAGACCTCACCTCTTGGCATCTCTGGGCATAGAAGCTGCGACCAGGCCTGACTTCTGGTGCTTTGCCTCTCTAAGGAGGGCAGGAAGTAGTGGAGATCACCTTCGTCTAAACATCACAGGACTGAAGTTTGAGATGTCAGATGGGGTGGCTCAAAGTCATGGGAGAAATCCATGCCAGTCCTAGAGAATCAGACACTTGTAGGAGATGGCTGAAACACAAAAGAGAAGGATGGCTGGAATGGCGGGCACCCCTTCCCTTTTGATGGGGCCTAGTGTCTCCTGGGATGCTAACCCTTGACTTCCAACTCTCCTGTTATTGCTGTTTGCTCCTTTAGACACTCCTGTCATTCTATGAACTCACCCCTGCCTGGCTGTCTTTTGAAACTGCAAAATAAAGGATTCCCAACTATGCAGAAGTGAATGCAGCAGTAACAGCAACATGTTTGCATCTTAATGAAAATCATGTCCACATGTCTGTGCGCACCCACCATCTAGCGATGACGGGCATGGATGGCTATGGCTTGCTGTCATCTGCATGCGGTTGCAGCATTTGCATCTGCTCATCAGTTTGGGATCCAGAAAAGGAGCTTTTGATAGAAGAATCCTATTACCAGTCAGCCGGCTGTGAAATACTGTACCTGTGCCATACCTTGTAAATAAAAGCCTGTTTTCATTCTCTATATGTACACTCCCCACCCCCTTGCTGGCTGCCACAAGGGAAATCAGCTGAGAATTCCTCAAAAAGCCACTGGGGAGGGGCAGAACCCACGATTCTTTGAATTTAGTTTTTCTATGAACTGGAATAAGAATCGGGAGCAGAAGGTCTAACATGTTCTGTAATTAAGGAAAGAAAGAAGGAGGACAAGGAGGAAGGAAGGAGGAAGTGTCTGCAGCAGATGTGGAGGAGTATGAGCCCAATAAGTCATGCAAACTGAAAAATAACAACAGTGGGTACAAAGTACACATGACCATAGGTCAACCTGATGCTCTTCCTCTCCCCCCATATCCTGCAGTCTTTGAAGCATTGGCATTTGGGTACTGACTGGAGTTACATCCTCTTCAGGGTCTGGCTCTGAGAATGTCATGTTAATTAAGCATTAAGAAAACGAGACTCTGAAAGAGAAGTGAATCCTACTGGCTACCATGGGAGAAGAGTGATGGGCATTATTGAGAATTAAGCCTCTTGATACATTTGTTGCTAGTGATGTGCCTCTGCCTGGGTTATAGGTAGATCCTCTCCATATTCAATGCGAGTTAAGTTTAGATAAGGAGATTTCTGACCTAGGAAAAAAATGGGTGGAGTGAATACCCACTATGAAAGGGAATAATTCAAATTAGCAACTGAGTGACATTTCCACCATTTAGTCTAGGGAGCAAACTAAAAATCCTGACCAGCTTTCTGACCAAATTAAATTTTGTAAGCAAGACCCTAACTGCTGAAAGGCTCTCATTGCCATGAGAGAGAACTGGAGCAAGTCTGGGACCCAGTAATTCCTCCACCCTCTGAAAGACCACAGCCCTGAAGTGAAACAAACAGCTGAGAAGTCCAGGTTCAGATTCCAACTTAAGGGTTCAATTAATCAATGCAAAAACCAAGAAAACATTTAGTTCAATATCCATCTCTTCTGATGCATGATGATTCTGTTCTTACTGTCTCTATATAAATGTCTTTATTGAATTTCTTTCATGTCTTCTGCTTCTATAATTTCTGCTCCTCCAAGCACCTAGATGAGAATCAAGTGCATGTGTGTGTATGTGCTCACATGCCTGTGTCCGTATGAACGTTCCACTCCCCGACACAAAGCCAGCGACCAGCCCTGCTTGTGCCTGGCTGGTCGCTCCGTACTTGATTCTATTGATGTCCCACTTCTGCCCTTGACTACCGAGGCCCACACTCTCTCTTTCCTTTGTTTTCTCCCATCTATGAGGAATTTTGTGTACTAGCAGTCTAGGTCTGTGTCATTCCATCTAAATGATAAGTGCGCGCACTGACACCAGCTGCTGACAATACGCAGGTGTCTCCTTGTTCTCCTTCCTTGTTTCTGTCTTACTGAACATAGACAGTTATCATCCCACCAGCTCATTAGCCTTTTCTCTGTATGTTCCCCATAATGCATTCACTTAGAAGACGTCAACTACCTCTCTATAAATATGGCCATCAAGTTTAACTTGAGTCATGTGATCATTCCCAAGTACTACTTACAGATAGCCAATATCTTGCTTGAATATCTCTATCTAGACGTTCACACTGGTATTGTCAACTTGAGATAGCCCATGGTTAGAGGGGTGCTCTCCTAGCATGAAAAAGAATCCAAGGACCATCCCCAACATCATATACAAACAAAATTCCTCCCACATCCCATTAAATAAAAGGAACTTCCCAGCATATTATCCTCCCCATATGCTGTGGTACTTCTATGGCCCTGTCCCCAAATATTCATCCCCCTCCTTCCTTCTTGCAATAGGTTCACTGTGACTGTCATGATATCGACTTCATGATTTTTTTTTTTTTTACTCTCACCACCATCTACATTCAGACTCTTCTTATGTTAGCCAGCTCTCAGTTATGACGACAAAATACCGGAGACAATTCACTTATTTTTGTCACAGTTTCAGAAAAGCCATACGTACACTTACACATTTACTATAGAAGTTAACCCATTCGCTTACAACGTGATTGGAGTAAGACCCATGTGTTTCCAATTGCATGCTCACGTGCACCCATGCTGAAAAAGACAGTAAAATGAATGCTTTGAACACCTGATCAGTGACTTCTTCTACCTCTCTGAGTTCTTGAAAACACCCTGAGTATACATACCTGTCTGATGTTGCTCTGAAAATGTCTGGCCACAGGAAAGGGCTGCTGAGACCAAAAGAAATCCATGTATAGTAGATGATATGAAAATGAGGACCAGGACCAACCCAGGCTGCCACTGGTGGAATTAAGAAATACCACCCAAGAATATGCTTAGAGTGGAGAAAATAAAACTGCAGACAATCCCAAAATGGTTCACACACACACACACACACACACACACACACACACACACACACACACACATACACACACACCATCTTCCTAGATGCACAGCAACCAGTATTGACATGGATGATATGTAGATCTCTCTCTCTCTCTCTCTCTCTCTCTCTCTCTCTCTCTCTCTCTCTCTCTCTGTCTCCCCCTCTCTCCCCGTGTGTGTGTGTGTGTGTGTGTGTGTGTGTGTGTGTGTGTGTATGTGTGTGTGTGTGCGTGCATGTGTGTGTGTGTGTGTGTGTGTGTTTGAGGCCAAGAGGAATATGAGAATGAATGAATGAACGAATTCAGGGCGCCCTGATAAATTCCCCCAGGGATAAAATCCAAAACGTCTGCTTCTCAGAGATAAACAGAAAGCTTTGCTCCTCGGAGGCATGGCCAGTGGCTGAGCACCATGCTAATCTTCTCTGCACCAGGTCCCAGGCACCACGGCAAATGTGTATCAAAAAAAAAAATTTTTTTTAATGGAGGCAAAAAAGAGAGATTCTTTCTCACTAAAGGCAGTAATGTGAATTCAAATGTTCTTTGCCGTCTGGATGAAAGCAACCCAAATTGATGTTGTTTCAAAGAGGGTGTAGGAGAGCTAGCAGAGGAATAGATTAATTTGGTTGTGCAGATGAAGCTCACTCCCTAGGTAACAGGGTGGGGCTGGGCCAGCTGCCAGTGAGCCTGAAATGCCACACACTCCCCCTGAGTCACGTGCCTGCCTCTAGGAGTGCTTTCCCATCCAGCGTGTCATTTGATCTTCCAAGCTCTGCGGTGGGCCACAGTAGAGACGCTATTATTTCACATCCACGGAAGAAGCTAACTGGGGCCCAAGAGATCCCCAGACAGGCATCCATCTCTGTTACACCCAAACCAGGGCCCCGGGCCAGTGTTCCCTGGCTTATGCAAAAACATCACCCGAGAATGTATGGGAAGTCAGAGTCCCACTTTTCAAGTGTGGGGTGGGCCTGGGCTTCTGCATTTGAACTGGTTCACAGGTGTGCCCAGTGCCGCCAGTTTGGGATCACTCAGCTTCGGAACCCCTATCTATTGGTACTGACTTTGAAAGCTTGTCCAAAACATCCAATAACGAATTCGCTCTTTGACAGGACACTGTTTGAACCATTAAGCTCAAGAACAGATGTCACACATGGATCCCAGCTAGGGTGGAGTGGTTTTTGGTTCCTAGACATATGAGGAGCCAGAGGAAATGCCACCAAATGGTCAACTCAGTGACCCTGACAAGACTTTATCCCCTCCTCAGGCTACTGATGCTACATCTGTGCAAAAATCCAACACCCACTCTCTGGAAACCAGCCGCTCCCTGCCTCCAGATAAAGAGGCCCAGAGAAGACTCATAGCTTGGGCTCTTTTGGTGTTAGTGAAGCCATGTCTCCACAAAAGGACCTTAGCAATCCTCGAGGATTTATTACCCAGAGAATCTAATTTGTGCCATCACTCCCAGGTTTTATTTTTCTTCAAGGTCTCAACCTGCAGGGCCTTGGCAGGAGAACAAGTGGACAAGGGCTTGTGTTGAAAGCATGAAGGCTTGAACTAGAACCCCAGAACCACATAAAAAAGGCCAGGCGTGGTGGCTTGAGCTTGTAAGCCAAGAACTGGGTAGGTGAGAGGTGGGTTCCTGAGGCTGGCTGGCAAGTCAGCCTATTCTGCTTGGTAAGTTCTAGGCCAGTGAGAAGCCTTGTTTCAAAACAAAGGTTACACACACACACATACACACACACACACACACACACACACACACACACACACACACACACACAATCTCAACACACTTCATCTCAATCTTCATTTCCTCCTAGGTTAAGAGCCTGGACAAGCATCCTTCCTCTGGGCTCTGCTTTGGATGTTGGGATGCCTGAGAAAGAAGAGCTTTTCACTCAGCATTCTCAAACAGGGTGAAGACTAGATCCCAGGTGTCCTGGCCTCTGCCCCCACACTTTGGTATTGGGGTGTACTGCAGAGGCCTGTTCTCTGGTCCTTCCTCGTTAACCACACATGCCAACTGCATTCCATCATCAAAAGCAGATTCCTTTGGGATTGTATGTCCTTTCTAGCTTCAAAAATGCCTTTCAACAACTGCATACATTTGTGAGACCAGGGTTTAACACCTCTGAACTCAAATTAACGCTCCCCATGGAGGCAATTTATAGTCTGTGACAGCCAGATGACACAAAGAAAGTACAACAGGAATATGGTGATGGGGAGATCCCTAAGGCAACAGTGAGGAGTCCCATAAGATGATCATTGACTGCTACCAGTTTTGCCAGAACCAAGCATGTCCCTATGATTTATTTCCTCAACATCCTTGGACCTACTCTGAGACCTTGCCCTGACCTCAGAACCTCAATGTCCTCAGAAGGCTATCGGCTACATAGCACCCCTCCCTCTACACCGTTGTCTCACTGGGCAATTATTGCTAAGGCTGTGGAGTCACTATGAGACCATCTCAAAGGAGGCCAAATCAAGCCAAGAGGACTCAGTTAACTACTTTCAGAGACCTCAGTGCTGAGCAGGCTCCCCTCATGCAGCCTGTCCTCAGTGGGCTCCGAGAAGCCAGGACTCCAGTACCGTGATCTCCACTCTAAAGCTTGTACCTTGGACCCCAAGCCAGCCCTAACTGCTCTGCAGAGATTACAAACCTCCAGGAAAAATTAAACCCTCACCAAACAACCTTTAATTTTATCCACTTGCTTTAATGAAGGTTCCGGTGTTAATGACCTCAGAGGCTTTAGTCTGACAGTTCCCCTGCTAACTAAACCCTGAGCTACACCCCCCAACGCTGCAGCCTGGAATCTTGAGTGTTGCCTCTAATCTTATTTTCTATTTCTGGGCTATATTGCATTAGCACCTTTTTATTTCTCCTGGCATGTTTGACAGTGAGTTCAGGCTAGTGAGAATCATCTCTTTGTGCTGGCAAATGGGAATTACATTGGTTGTTTTAGAATAATGACTTATAGTTAAAATTACCCCCAGGATGTCATAATTACATGGTCTCAGCTTTCTTCTCTGACTAGGTAGAGAGGCAGCACTCAGGTGCTCTGTAGGAAGTTGCTCAGAGTGGAGGAGAGAGGGGGATGTACAGGTGTGGAGGTTGTGTCCTCCAGAAACGCAGGAAGATGGGGCATGGGACTAAGTGGCATGCTGTGATGAGGCAGGAAAGAGTCCCTCACCCTCCTTGATGCTCCTGCATCCAGGTGTAGCATCGGCTCATCTGGGAGGACCAAGGCGTCAGCCTAGCCAAGGCTGGGATGATTTTCAGGATTCCTAACACTCTCTGGGATTCATCAGCATCCGAAATTCACAGATGAGGCTCACCTTTGACCTCACCCATTAAACATATGCTCTCTGCTAAAAGGCACACATTATTTGGAAGGGTTCCCATCAGTACCATGAACAACAGGAGCTGGATTAATGTGGGAGTGTTCCGCTGCAATTTGCTTTACATTCACTTTTAGCGACTGGATCTTAGCAGCAGTAGGTCCATGGGACTGTGGTGGGATTCTGTCACTTGGCCGGCAGCCCCACATCCTCCTGCATGTATTTCCAGTGAGGAAGGTTGCTATACTCTACTCTGACACCATCACTCTTCTAAACTTCCCACAAGGGACTACCCTCCAGAGCCCGAGAACAAAAGAAGGTAGAAAAATGCTGATTCCAGGCGAGGGCAAGGGCAAGATCCCGTCATCAGGCAGATGAGGACGCTGCTCAAAGAGGGAAGTGGTGACGGCCAGAGAAGATCAGAAGTAGGATGGGAATGAGGTCCATATTGTCAAGACAAATCACACCAAGAGCCATAGGCCCAGAGGACGTCAACCAGCCCAGGAGGCAGCCCTGAGAAATCCCAGGTCTGTCGCCACCACCTGTGGTCCTGAGACATATTACTTAACTTCTCACTGACTCCATTTCTTCATTCTAAAATTGGGAACCAATGCATGTTCTAACTTGAAGTTTCTGCAGGATCTAAATGTGAAATCTGCCACTCAGAACGATGTTGGCATGGGGCTTGCCTTTAAAAGGCAAAGGTGATTAGCACTATTTTCAGGTGGTTTTCATGAGACTCTCCCTCTCTGTCCCCAACTGCTATTGTCTTGTTCTTTTCCTTTGGAAGAGTCTAAAATGCCACATTCATCCCCAGGGAAGAGGGTCAGGGGGAAGAAGGGTAGCTGGATTGAGTGGGTCCCAAGAGACCACAGTGAAGGGTGATGGGTGAGTCTGGGAGGGTCCCCAGTCTGACTATTTGTCAAGATGGTGAACAGGAGACCAGCCAATGCCAGGGAGAGAGGCCAGATGTGTGTGGAAGATGATTTAAAAAGAAATACCTTCTAATCTGTGTAATTAGTGCCGCTGGGCCTCAGCACAAAAGAGGAAGTGTCTTGAAGACCATCTTCTCTTTGTTTTTCTCTCCATCAGAGATACCTAAGACTTCCCCAAGGTTTTTAAAACAAAATTACATTTTTTTTTCCCGAAGCAGGGCAGACTCAGCCTACAGGGATGAGTTGCCTCCCAGCCTCCCAGGACTTCAATTGAGGCTGGAGCGGAAGCCAGGGTGCAGCGGGCCCTCTCTGCAAATGACACTAATTAAGATGGGGATTGCTGGTAAAGCGAATCTACTCCAGCTCTTTTGTTAAAGCCTTGAATGTTCCCCCGGAGGCTCCCCATATGCGCACGTGGGCTTTAGAACCACTGTGGCAGCTGCCTGTGGAAAGAAGCACCTTGTGTGTTCCATTGCCCCCATCCCAGATCTGTCACCTCAGCTAATGTGTCACCTGAGAGCCTGACTCAGGTTCCATCTGGCTTCAGGATTGCAATCAGCACCCAAGAGGTGGGCAAAGAGGCCAATGTGATCTCATGCGGAGACATGGCGGGGAAGGGGCTGTGCAGGCTGGCAGGAGTAATCCCAGGAGCCAGGCTTCCTACCTCACTCTCTTTGTCTGCTGTGCTGAAATGCTGTCTGTGCACCTTACAAGCTTGGGATGGGGGAAGAACTATGGAAAGGGATGCTAAAGAACCTTCAGACCTCAGACCCCACACAGATGTAATTACAAGGCTGGACAGAGGAGGGGAAAGTCTGCCTAGTGGCATGAGCAGGTCAACAGAAATCTTGGTAGACTTGGGAAAGCATCTTCACCTGGAGGTCAGGTTCACAACCAATTTCTCCAGTGACAATGGATGGGCAAGTCTGTTACTAGAGAAGGCTCCAGATCAGGCTCCTAAGCCTATTGCTTTTTTTTTTTTTTTTTAATATTTTAGTTGACACATGAAAATTTTATCCACTTATGGAGCATAGAATGATGGCTCCAGACATATGTACATTGTTTTATGCTCTGGTCACAGTAAGCCTCTCTTCTCAAGCATCTATCATTTCTTTGTAGTAAAAACATCCAAAATTCTTTTTCATAGCTCTTTTGAAGTACACAACACAATGTCACTATCTGTTGTCACCCTGGTCATAGCACAGCTGAATTCCTATGTGACAGTAGTAGCCCACTGCCCAACCATTCCCCATCCCTCTCTCCCCACTTGTTCTCCTGACTTCTGGCAGTCGCTCATCTCAGCC